CCATTCGCACCAGAGTGCAATGGGCTAATATATAGAGAACTATGATGACAAATCCTAGCCATTAAAATTAATAGATTACACGGTTGTGATATGATACGATCCCACATCGGCTCCACAAGAGATTGTGGAGTGGTACTTAAGTTGGGGCCAAACCTCCACTCATGAGCTAGCTTTTGTGGTGGAGTTTGGGTCTTGGCTTGAGTACCGTATCATTTGGTGCTCTCGTTGAGAGGTGGGAACCGAGAAGAATCCGGAGTGAAAGTTGTCCAGAGTGAAGCCGTCCTGATACCCCGGTTATTTGAGTATTTTGTTATAAATATTATTATTCTAAATAAAATTTTATAAAATAGATATTATGTTAAATAAAACATTTTTACTATACGGTCTGAAATTATATTATTTTATGTGACCCAAAACTATTTAAAGAGAAAAATATACATAGCTGTCTTCATCGCTGGCTTTGTCGTCGGTCACCTTCTGTTATCATCTGGCTCTGTTCATCGTAGGATTTCATTCAAGGATTTTGTTGATTCTGGTTCGAGGTAAGATTTATGTTCACTAAAATCCTTTTACCCCAAATCAAAAATTGATTTTTCTAATTGTTTATGTGATTCGTGATTTTGAAAAATTGATGATATTTAGTGTTGTAAGTTATTTGATTATATTATGTGAGTTGATATATGATTTTAGATGTTTTGAAATCCCTGCACATGTGATATGGTGATTCTTTGGTGATTAAAAAGGATAAATTTTACACAATTTGATCATTGCCTGAGAAAATTCTGACTGGCGCAGCTGGAAAGAAAAATTCGTGAAAATTGCTTCCTAAACTTATTTTTTCTTGAAATTTTTTATGGAGAACCTAGACTTGTTATATTTGATGTTTGTAAAAAGTTTTGGTTAAAAATATGTTTCAGTTTGTCCAGAAAAATTTCGTAAAGTTGAGGCAGTGTACTGCCATTTCAATTTCTGTGTGTTGGGAAATAATTCGGGAAAAATTCTTTTAGACCTTGGATTGATTTGAAACTTTTTGTGTATAATCTAGACTCACTGTACCTTGTATCTGGAAAATTTCATCTGAAAATGTGTTACCAATATATTTCTATAAATTTTGCAATATAGGTCATACCTTCTAAAAATTTCTGTCGGTTCCTTATTTGAGGTGTTGAGAATTTGTTTGCTTGAGAAATATCAGTAATGTTGTCACTTTTATAAAGATTGAGGATAAAGGAAATTGATTCTTAAGACTTGTGTAGTATCCTGTTGTGAAATTCTGGATACTTGGGTTATGACCCAGTTTGTTGTGGAGTGAGCGGTTGAATATACCGACTCACTAGGGAGCTTAAAAACTCTCTGATGTTTTGAGGAGTGAGCAGTGAAAATATATCCTGTCTCACTAGGACTTTTAGTCCTGTTTTATTTTGAGGAGTGGTTAGCGGAGTCTACCACTAGGGTATTTACCCTGTTGAGTAGTAATCAGTAGAAACGTATCCTGGCTACTAGGACTAGTTACTACCTATTGGGCTTGGAAACCCATTGGGGGTGTGCACACTTAAGGTATTAGTTCTGTTCCACTTTAAATGGGAATTTTGCGTAGTGTTCAGTAGAGTGAGTACTGTTCACTAGGGCTTATTGAATAAGACCCTGCCCATTATTTGGTTGATTTAAATGGGATTTTTGAGTAGTGTTCAGTAAAGAGAATTACTGTTCACTAGGGCTTAAATAATTAAGACCCTGCCCATTACTTGAGATTGAATGGGATTTTGTGTAGTGTTCAGTATGGTGATTACTGTTCACTAGGGCTTGATGAAACAAGACCCTGCCCATTGTGTTGAAATTGGTGTTCCTCCATATTGCAAAAATATATTTTACTTTTGAAAGGTTCCTAAAATTCCTATTGTGAGAAATACTGATTTGGTATTATTAATGAGAATAAAAATGTTTAAGGGGTCATTCTAGATGTAAACTATCTTCTCCTGTATGTTACATGCTATGTGCAAAAATGTTTTACGGGGTGAAGTAGATCTTACAAGCTTAATGCTGAATTTGTGTGTTTCTTTGTTTTCTATTCTTTAATTGTTTTTGCAGGAACTCTTGCATGAGCATTGGGCATGAGAATGAGCGAACCAGCTAGAGATATCATTTATTAGTTAGACAATTGAATTGTTAGTTGTTTTTGTACTAGTACATATCTTGAGTTGTTTATTGTAAATTGTAAATTTAGCCTTAGCGTTTGGGTATAGAGAAATACCTGAGTGTGGTGGTAACACCCATTTTCTTTTGATTAGTTAATGCTTCCGCTATGAGTTTAGTAAATTGTAAATTAAGAAAAAAGAAATTGAAGGAAATTTTGGATATGAAAATTGGGGTGTTACACGTCCACCCATCTGGTGCTGGCCTAGCGGAGGGGGCGACCTAGAAAAGGGCTACCTGGTGCTTGATAAGGTCCAGAGTGAAGCCATCAAAAGCGGAAAAGCGGAAAAGGGCTACCTAGTGCCGAGAAGAGTCCAGAGTGTGAGCCGTCTTGAGTAAGCCGCCGCAGATGTCGGCTTCTCAAGGGTTGGGTAATGATATGACTCCACAAGATATTGTGGACTAGAAATAACAAGGGAGTGCAAAGAAGACATTTGAGAGAAATTTTTATTTTGGAAGGATTGTAATTAACAAACTTAATATCTTAGAAGGAGTATATTCATGGTAACAAATTGTAGGCCAAATCGGAATGTAATTCACAACAAGGGAAATCTCTGAATGACAATCGGATGAGCGCTTCTTACACCACCATGGACGATGACCAGAAGAGAGGGTCTGACACCACTATGGATGACGATCACTCGAGAGGTTTTGACACTGGAATGGACGATAACCACCAGAGAGCTGCAGACATCGACATGTATAACAATAAGTTACTCAACTATGTGTTTCTAAATGTTTAGGGGAAGTGCATTACGGTAGAGAATAGGGTTTGCGAAATATCGTGGAGTGCACGTACGTACAATTTTTATTTGGGGTAAATCACGTACATATGTTCGTGACTTAGGATGTTGTGTGCCAAACTTATAAAAATTGTGTAACATGCATGAGGATGGCGTGTGCAACATTGTAGTATGTCAGAGGCCACAGTTACAAAACATGCCGTAAAAAAACTAAGCGACGGCAAGTTCATTATGTAGAGGATAGGGTTTGCGACACATCTTCTTAGAAGTACAGTCGTTGAGGGGGGCAAAAATTCATCTCGTTTACTGCACGTACATAGGATGGTATCTTAGGATGTAGTATTCCATACTGTTGAATGTCGAGTGCCATGCATGAGAACGTCGTGTGCACGTACATCGCGGAATAGGTAGAGGTGACCATGGTTCGGCTCGAACCGAAATCGTAACTGTAGCAACCGTAACCGAACCGGAACAGTCCGTACGGTTCTGGTTCTGGTTCCTAACCGGAACCAATATGGTTCTGGTTAAGGTTTTCGTAAATAAGGAACCGGAACCGCCGGTTCCGGTTTGGAACCGAAAAAAAAAATTAAAAAAATTAATAGTTGCAGCATACTGCCGTCTGCCACTTTGCCACACTTCCGCATTAGGCAGTGGGTAGAGTGGGACGTGACGTGAGACTTGAAATCTCATGTAATTAATGGCGCAAAGGCCAAAGACCAAACTTTGGTCTTTGGTCTTTGGTCTTTGGCCTTTGCGCCAAGACTTAAGAGGACAAATAAAAAAGTATTTTTTATTTTATTTTTAGATAAATCCGGTTAGAAACGGCGGTTTCAACTGGAACCGCCGGTTCATGAACCGGAACCGGAACCGGAACCGCGGTCACCCCTAAGAACAGGAACCATTTTAAATGACAGCGTGTGCAACAAAATTTAATATTTTTCATCAATTTAGCATATAGTTGGCATTTGTGTGATGGAAAGGGAGAGTTTTTTGTGAAATTATTATTGGCATTGGAAATTTTTAAAAACATTTCATTTTGAGTATGATGAAATATGTGAGTTGTTCAATTACAAATGGCAATTTAATTTCAATAAAAATGGCAAAAATGAGCCATTTTCAATTACAGTTTGTGCAATAACTTTTAGTATTTTTCATGAGTTTAGCATATATTTGGTATTTGTGTGATGGAAAGGGAGAGCTTTATGTGAAATTATTATTGTCATTTGCAATTTCTGTAAACATTTCATTTTGAATATGATGAAACTATTAGTGGTTGAATTAAAAATGGCAAAAATGAGACATTTTCAATGACAGTGTGTGCAATAATTAACCAAACTCACATTCTTACTGAATTCAATTTTGTGTTGTACGATGTGGAGACATCTATGGGAAAAACAAATGAATTTATTCCAGATTGTGATGATACAATAAAGTCCTACCGCGGCCAACATTTTGAAACAGTAAATTAAGGAGTTGAGTATTACAAACGGTATGCAGCGGCAATGGGTAATAGATTTCTCAAATTATGTAATTCTCCACTACGACAAAAATAACTATGTGTTCTAAAATCCCATGACATTCTACCATGAATAAATAACTACATGTAACTGCTTTCATTATTTATGGTACCAAGTGCATATGGAATATAGTTGTCAAACCGAACTCACCGTACACACAACAACCGATAAAAGGGCACACAATGTGCAAAAGGAGTGCACAGAAATTACACTATATGGGCACACAATGCACATTCGGTGTGTGCACATGCCAAACTAGTATTGAACTACACTTAGGAAATTAGGACAGAACGTAAAAAAAGACTCTACATTAAATAAACAAACAACACACACAACGTGAACAAAAAAAAAAATGGCACAAAAAAATGAACTCCAAGTACTGACATCCTATAACACAAAAGCACAGTAATAACATATCATGTACGCACGAAATATTGGATAGAAGCTAAGGCACACAACATATGTAGTAATGCACACAAACTACACTAAACGGGCACACAATATAAAGTAAATATAATGATTTTGGCACACAACATAAAATAGGACTGAAGATAAATTAACAAACAACGCACATATCTTGAACATAAAAAATGCACAGCAAAAGAAACCATGAGCACACAGCTTATAACAGACCTGCACACAAATAATATAACTTATACACACGAATGATTGCAGCGAATACAATTAATGGATGAAAATAAAGAGATTAAATTACCAAAAACTCAACATCTAAACAATGTTAAAAGACGTATTCCATAATTGGCCATCAAAACGTATACAAAAACAAGGCATGGCCAACATACTAAGTTCAAAAACTGCAACACCCCCGATTTCCAGGCCAAATTAAACTTAAACATTCAGATAATCTAACCATAATATAAGCATACACAGCGGAAGTCTTAACTATATAAAAACTGGAAAACTAAGAGTGTTATGTCACGTCCACGCTAAGGTGAACGCACAGGCGAAAACAACATCTATATCATCAGTCTAAAGGGACAAGGTCAGACCATACACAAGTCTAAAATCCAACATAGAAGGCACACAGGCCCAAAACAAACTACAAAGTCTAAGGGATCTATACTATCCATTACTAGATCGCGCTCGCCACTACTCGGAACCTGAAAAGCACATATAGATAAAATGGGACGACGCCCGGTCAGCGAATGATGCTGGTAACCCACCAATACATGTCAAAAGCATATATAGATAGATAGTATATACAAAATCATTTCGAAATGGAATACTGTATATAGGGGTTCAAAACCAAAGATGGAAGCCAACCACAAGACTCTATATCACTCACAACAAGGACAAGGGGAAACACATCCCAAAAACACATCAAGACACGAGTAACAACATAATAACTCAACAGATAAGGATAAACATCCACATACTGGCACTTTATGCCACAATGACGCTTCATGTCACAAGTTTCGAGTTCCAACCTTATGCCCTGTTCCAACCTTATGCCTACCCCCGGCCTTATTACGGTTTCAACCTTTACCTCCGAGTGTCACCCTATACTTCCAAGTCAAACCTTTTGCCTCTGGGAACCGCCGTTCCCCCTCCAACAACCGCCAAACAAAACCACCGAACGCATAGTACACGAGGGTACATTGCAAAGTCACATCACAAAACCGCCAAACCGTGTGAGCTATACTCACGATAACAAACCACCAAACTCATGCATGGCCACCACGAGGACCACATCTGTACCTTGGTGATTAATGTCCCATACCGTTAATTGTGCAATCCAGGTACAACCAACACACACATTCATCATCATAGGAATCAATCAACGGATCACAACGAAGATGTGAAACCATACTCAATCAAGGAAGGATCACAATCCGACATCAACGATGATCAACAAAAGTTATCATCCACAATAGGAAAGAACAAACCACACACGCTAGCATTTCAACATCAAACCAGCATGCTTATCAAACGGATAAACAAAACATAGTTCCAAAGAACATACAAGACTCATCATGGTTCAACGTATCACAATGTTGAACACTTAGCACGATTCAAGACACCAAATCCTACATGGAATCCTACCATATAGTTCTAGACATACGAAACATCAAGAAGACACTCAAAAGCCCAACAAAAGAACATCGGGAAGTCAAAACATCAATTACCGAGTCAAAAGAATCACAGGGAACAAATCCCCACACATCACCACACACGTACTCGCGGGTGGAGCCACGGGTGGACCCCCACCCGTGGTTCCACCCACGGGAACCAAGTCCCACAAGCCAACGTACCCCGTGGGTGGGGCGGCGGGTGGAGCCCTACCCGCCGTTCCGCCCGCGGGTACCGAACGCTGAACAAATTAATCCCTTCGGAGATTTTCAACACCAAACTCAAATTCAAGTCCAAAACATGCAAAATCTCACAAAATACAACAAAATGACTTGAATAAAAGGAATAGCCAAGCAATGGCATACAAGTACCCTAATAACAAGCTCTAGATATGCATTTTCACAAGACAATGCATCAACACTCACATTTCATAGCAAAATCACATGTAGAATCCAAGAAATCATCATATAGGTAAGCAAAATAGATTTCGTAGAGCATGGGTTACCTCTTGAAGACAAATCCTTCACTTAAAACACTCCTCAAAGCCCCTAACAAGGTTCACCTTCAACACCCACTTCAAGAACACACCAAAAGATCATAAAGATTTCATCTTTAGGAAAAGATACCTTAGAAAGCACTAAAAACACAAAAGGAACATAGATCTTACCCTCCTAGATGCTCAAGAGTAGGAAAGGTAGAATCTTGGAGACAAACTTTGAAAATCTTGGAAAGCCTCAACTTAGCATGGAAGAAAAGCTAGCTAAATTTTAGAGAGAAGGAAGAGCTTATGTTTTGAAAGTGTAAGGGAAAGAATGAAAGGTGTCTTCTAGGTTAGCTTGTAATACAAACATGAGGTGAAATGCCTTCATTACCCTTACTAAGATGAAGAAGTGTAAGGGAACAAGGGAACTATCCTTAAAGCTTTAGGTACAACACCTTGACTTGGGTTGACTAGTCAATTACTAGTCCCCGACTATTGAATTTTCAGGAATTTAAAGAATAATTCACCAATTAGATTAGGATTAATTACTTAATTAATCCCTAAATAGAATTTAGATTTGCGAGGTGTCACAAAAACACCCAAAAAGAAAAACGAAACAAACAATAAGTTTAATCTAACAAATCAATCTTTGGTGGTACAGAAAGGGATCAAAAGATAGCGCAACGCACGTGCCACATTGCTCGAAAGATCATGAATGTCCTTGCTAAACCAAATACAATTGGGCATATGCAAAGTGCACACAATATAAAAGAAAAATGCACACAATACTCTGTGTCCGTGCACGGTGAAACCAGAACAATACATAATAGAATAAGAACATGAAAACCTCTTGCAAATATTACTAGGCAAAATTGGAAGGATTTTCCGCATAAATACAAACATAAAAATAAAAATAAAAAACAGTATAATTCCCAAATCATAATCCCCCCGAACCCCACACTACCCTGTCGGGCAAAGACCTTACGAAAATGCACCCAAAAAGAAATATAACAGTAAAGGTACTAGCCTTAATGACATGTTTCTTCTTGAAATGAAACATATAACACAAAAAATATATAATTTTTACAAGAATAATAATAATAATACCAATAAAAAAATGCAATACAACTAGTGTTTCAAGAAGAAAACAAGAAAAAACACGAAATTGTAAATAATAAAAAAAAAACAAATTTGGCCGAACATAAAAGATTGCTAATTACGCATACGCAATGAACAATAAACAAAATTTTCTAAACCAAATGCAATTGGGCATTTCACTATGGAATTCAAAGAAATTACCTACGTTTCAGCACAATGCACAAAAGCCAAATGAAAAAAAAAAAAAAAACCCAAAAGAAAAAAAAAAAAAAAAAAAAAAAAAAAAAAAAAAAAAAAACCTACCTTCTAAAAAAGAGGATTAACAACACGGGAAATAAAAAAGCAAGAACGGCGAAGGGCGAAGGGCGAATATTCTTACCCTCAACAACCCAAAAGGAAAAACCCCTAACGTCTACTAAAAAAAAATGGAATCGCAACAAGGAGAATACAAACAAGAAACGCGCAGGGAGGATAAACAAACCTCGCCCAGTAGCTGCAGATCACTCCCCAGCTCGTTTCGACCGTCGACCGCAACAGTGTCCCCCATTACTGCCACCGCCGAGTGCAATGCGAAGAAAGGAACGCCGACCGCCGTTAGTTTTTACGACTGCAAAGAGAAGAAAGAAAACGAAGTGTCTGAAAAAGGAGAGAGAGAAATTAAGGCGTGGAAAAAACGAACATGAATAGTAAGCGGCCAAAAAAAAAAAAAAAAGAATGCCACATTAAACAAACCTCTATTGAATTTCCAAAACACCCCCTTACAAAAAACACACGCACGAGACAGAATAAAATAAGCCTGATAATGAAATATTTACCATCTAATCTAGACCATCCATTTTTAAAATCCAATGCACAAGATTTGTCCTTAGTGTCCTCTATAATATAGTTGTCCTCATTTGAATACATTTCTCTCACTCTCTCTCTCTCTCTCTCTCTCTCTATATATATATATATATATATATATATATATATATATATATATATATATATATATATATATATATATAGGGTTGCATTCACATGAGTACATCAATATATAGAGGACTGTGCAGACAGATAATGGGCACAAAATAAATTAGTACACGACTACATCTGACCATGCACACGACATACAGACTAATTGCACACGACTATATATGTCCTCACAGTCCTCTATAATATAGTTGTCCTCATTCGAATATATATATATATATATATATATATATATATATATATATATATATATATATATATATATATATATATATATAGGATAGGTAGGGTCACACCCTTTGAACCTTCCCTCGTGAAGGTACATTTACTCTACTGACTGTACGGTAGAACGCGATGTCTTTGAACCGACTGCCGTTTGTGTAGACGATGACATATCTCACACAGGAACCTCCCAACCATGCTTTGTTCTCATGATTGTGCCCATTTTGGTCGTGGGTCACCATTCCTGGTTCTGCAAGAGTTTGTGAAGAATTGTGCCCGTCAATTCTCCTTTGAAGCGACCCTCACTTCTCTCTCACATAGGTGATTTTTTCCCGAGTATCTCGCATACTCACATATGTCAACCGACATTCGAATCACTAAAGCATTTTACATTGTGCTGGAGCCACTGTTTCTAACGAGGAGTGGTAGGGAATCCGAGACCCCCACAGTGACACGCTCCATTCCATAATTTAGTTGTCCCATTGAACCTAGGTGCCAGCTAGGTTGGGTGTCCACTATAGAACTTATACCAAGGGCTTTAGACCCATTCCTCGTCTCAACTTCTCCACAGCTACTCTACATAACCCTTTGGTTAGCGGATCCGCTATATTGTCTTCTGACTTTACGTAGCCAATCGAGATAATACCAGTTGTGAGAAGTTGTCTAATGGTATTATGTCTACGACGCACATGTCTAGACTTACCATTATACATATGATTCTGTACTCGTCCAATTGCAGCTTGACTATCGCAATGCACACACATTGGAGGTACAGGTCTTTCCCAATTAGGAATATCCTCTAAAAAATGGCGTAGCCATTCAGCCTCTTCACAACATTTGTCCAAGGCTATCAGCTCAGATTCCATCGTGGATCTAGCTATCACGGTCTGTTTAGAGGATTTCCATGCAACGGCTGCACCGGCTAGTGTAAATACATAGCCACTCGTGGACTTGGAGTCATTAATATCGGATATCCAGCTAGCGTCGCTATACCCTTCAAGTACAGCAGGATATCTCCCATAGTGCAGTCCAAGGTCTCGAGTATACCTTAAGTATTTCAGAACCTTCACTACTGCCGTCCAGTGCATGGCACCGGGGTTACTCGTATATCTACTGAGTTTACTAACCGCAAAGGCAATATCCGGCCTAGTACAGCTCATTAGATACATCAAACTACCAATAGCCCGAGCATATTCTACTTGAGAAATACACTCCCCGTGGTTCTTGGTTAGATGAACGCTTTGATCTAATGGCGTCCTAGTCCCTTGATGATTATCCTTGTTAAATTTTTCAAGGATTTTATCAATATAATGTGATTGGCTTAACACCAGACCATCAGGTCTTCTAATGATTCTAATCCCGAGGATTAAATCAGCCAAACCCATATCCTTCATGTCAAATCTCGCATTTAACATGTTTTTGGTAGACTTGATCATTCGATCGTTACTACCAACGATGAGCATGTCATCTACGTATAAACAAAGAATGACATAACCGTCTATCATTTCTTTAATGTAGACACATTTGTCACTTTCGTTTATTTTAAACCCATTAGTCAACATCGCATGGTCAAACTTCTCGTGCCATTGCTTAGGCGCTTGTTTTAAACCATATAGCAATTTAACCAACTTACACACTTTCCTTTCTTGGCCCGGAACCACGAACCCTTCGGGTTGTTCCATATAGATTTCCTCATCTAGTTCGCCATTTAGGAAAGCGATTTTAACGTCCATTTGATGAACTTCCAAATTCCGCAGCGCGGCTATAGCAAGTATCATTCTAATGGAGTTTATTCTCGTCACGGGAGAATACGTGTCGAAGTAATCAAGGCCCTCGCGTTGCCTGTAACCCTTGATTACAAGCCTAGCCTTATACTTCTCGATGGAACCATCGGGTTTCATCTTCCTTTTAAAGACCCACTTGGATCCTAAGGGTTTACTACCCGGAGGAAGATCAACAAGTTCCCAAGTGTGATTCTGTAAAATAGAATCCACTTCACTTTTAATAGCCTCTTTCTATATTGGTCCTTCTGTAGAAGTCACGGCTTCTCCGTATGTTCGAGGCTCGTTCTCTATCAAACAAGATAGAAAATCGGGTTCATTTTCTAATAAAAAAGTTAGAGTACTCGAATCGTACTCCAACAAGTTAGAAAATCAGGACCAAATGATTTTCCAACTCTCGCCCGTTTACTGCGTCTTGGCTCGAGCTCGGGTTCTCTCTCGGATTCCCCACTATCATTATCCATAGCTTCGTCAAACGTTCTTTTTGACGAACTCGGTCCCTCATTGGACCTACAAGGAAATACATTTTCAAAGAAAGATGCATTCCTTGATTCTATTATCGTGTTCTCGTGTACGTCTGGATTATGGGACTCGTATACTAAGAACCGATAAGCACTAATATTATGTGCATAGCCAATAAAGATACAGTCCACCGTCTTAGGACCTATCTTTACTTTCTTAGGTGTTGGCACCAAAACTTTGGCAAGACACCCCCACACTTTCAGGTACTGGTAGGAAGGTTTCCTACCGTTCCACAGCTCATAAGGAGTCTTATCAAGCTTCTTGTGGGGTACCTTATTTAAAAGGTAATTACTTGTCAAAATAGCCTCACCCCACGTGTCTTGAGGTAGGCCCGAACTTATAAGCATCGCATTCATCATATCTTTCAATGTACGATTCTTTCGTTCGGCAACACCGTTCGATTGAGGTGAGTAAGGTGCAGTACGCTCGTGTATTATACCTACACTCGCACAGAAGTCACCAATAGGTGCTTCGTACTCACCACCTCTATCGCTTTTAACTTTCTTATCTTACGATTAAGTTGGTTTTCAACTTCATTCTTATAAAGAATGAACTTTCCCAAGGCTTCGTCTTTGCTTTTAAGCAAATACACATAGCAATAACGTGTTCTATCATCGATAAACGTGATAAAATATTTATTACCACCTCTCGTTTGTATCGATCTAAAATCGCACAAATCACTATGGATTAATTCTAGTGGTTCAGTTTCCCTTTCAACCGATTTGAAAGGTACTTTCGTTAATTTTGCCTCAACACAAATTTCACATTTGTTATTTGTGTTAATTTGAAAATTAGGAATATGGTCCATGTTAATTAAGCTACGTATAGAATTATAATTAACGTGACCTAGTCTACCATGCCACAAATTGGAAGACTCAAGCAAGTAAACGGAATTAACTTTGCTCTTATTCATGATAATAGGCATTACATTGAGCTTAAAAAGCCCATCAGTTACATAACCTTTGCCTACAAACATTCCTAACTTAGACAAAACAACCTTGTCTGACTCGAACACCATGCGAAAGCCATGCTTGTTCAACAGAGAGCCAGACACAAGATTCTTCCTCAGCTCAGGAACATACAGCACGTTGCTCAACGTCAGTTCCTTCCCGGAAGTCATCTTCAGAACCACCTTGCCCATGCCTTCCATAGCAGACTGAGCAGAGTTTCCCATCCACACCATTTCACCCTCAACGGTCTCAAAGGTGTTGAACATCTCTCGGTTGCAACACAAGTGCCTGGTTGCACCGGTATCAATGAACCATTCATGAGGGTTTGAGCCCACGAGGTTCACTTTGGTCACCATAGCCGAAAGGCTAATCTCGACCTCTTTCTGACTGCTATCTCCAACAACATTGGCTTCAGAACTCTTGTTCTTCTTCCTTGGAGCCTTGCATTCAGATGCTCTGTGGCCATGCTTGCCACAATTGTAGCATTCACCAGGAAACTTGTTCTTGGTAACGCCACCTTTCGGACCTAGCTTTCGCTTGTCCTTCTTGTTCCTCTTGGAGCTCTTACCATGCTCCACAACGTTGGCCTTAGCGCCAACAACGATAGGAGTCTTCCTATCATTCATCCTGTTCCCTTCCTCAATCCTGAGTCGCTGGATCAGGTCCTCCAGATTCATCTCCTTTCGCTTATGCTTAAGGTAGTTCTTGAAGTCCTTCCACCCTGGAGGCAACAAATGGATCACAGATCCCACTTGGAAGGCTTCACTTAGCACCATGCCCTCGTCACGGATCTCATCAAAGATTAATTGCAAATCTTCTACCTGACTTAGCACGGTCTTTGAATCAACCATTTTGAAGTCGAGGAATCGGCCAACTACAAATTTCTTTGAGCCGACATCCTCACTTCAGTATTTATGATCCAAAGCTTCCCACAACGCTTTTGATGTGCTTATCTTTCGATATACATCATATAGCGTGTCACACAATCCATTCAGGATGTAGTTTCGGCAAAGAAAGTCTGAATCCTTCCAATAGCCAACCGCCATCACGGATTGTGCATCTTGTTCCTTCAACTCGGGAACACTCTCGGACAAGAACCTTGCCAGGCCGAGAGTTGCTAGGTAGAACAACATCTTCTGTTGCCACCTCTTGAAGTTCGAACCAACACCGGTGAACTTCTCCGGCTTTTCAGCCGAACCACTCGGTACCGAAGGTACCCGAGACATGGGAATATATCCCTCAGTGCTCCCACCATCTTGTGAACCAACGTTCACTTGTGTAGCTTGGGAATTAGCAACATTGTTGCCATTCCCTCCACTATTATCCACAACAACGTTATTGTTGCCGTTTCTTCCATTGTTGTCCGCAACAACATTATCCTCCCCATCAATTGGCAGTACGGGATGCTCCATTTCTTCTTGGAAATTAGAGATAAACAACCAACGGGAAACGGATATAAGGTTTTAAGATTGTTGAGTAATATGGTAGAAAATTCCCAAAAATAATAATCCTACGAAAAGATTAATATTATATGGGAAAACAGAAAAAACTGGGAAGGAAAAGGTTGAGTATTTGGGTATAGGTTTAGCGCGAGTTCGAACACGAAGTTCTTTTCCTTAAAACCTTATTTGCTACCTCCCACAAGTGCTAGGAGCGTTGTAGCCTAGGTTTCCCAGGATAAAACGTGCTATGATTCCTTGTTTAAGCACCTAAACAAGGAACCCGTCGAACAAAGCAAAGCTTGGAACACTGGTTGGCTAAAGAAGAGAGTAGAAGCAGAGTTTTGAGAGAATAAAGCTACTGGAATTCCTTTGTTTCTACACTGTGTAAAAATACTACTGCTCTACCTCTCTTTATATAGGGCTTTCGGAAGGGATAGCATTCAACATGGCCTTTAATTGGTATTAAACCAATTGTATAACACCTGTAACAGTCACCCACTAAGTAGGATTAAACTCAGAATTTAAAATTGGAATTAAAACAGTATTAATTCCGTAACAGATGAGTTTAATCTGTACAACAGGCTGAACTTTCGGGTTTCAGACCGTTGGGGTGCAGGTTCACACGAGAGCACACGGACCAGGCAACACGAGAGTACATCTCTTGTGTGCACTGTGGTGCAACCCGAGAGTGCAAGGTATAACTTAGCCCGCAAGGCCAGCCTCCGGACGAGAGTAGGTGCTCTCGGTTCCGGTTCGGTTTTGGCCGAACCAAGTGACTATATCAGATGGAAAATGATACCGAAGTTAGGCATAACTTAGCCCGCAAGGCCAGCCCATTTCTGGACAACATTCGTGCCGGCGCACGCGAGCTCGGGCTTGAATCAAGCCTTTTCGATGTCCTCTAGTTGGATTTTGATTTACACCATCCCTCCCCCCCAGTAGTATATACATAGCCGACGTTAAAGACTTTTTAATTATTTTTTATTTATTAAATTTATAACGTTGGTTATTAACAAATAGCCAACGTTATAAATAAAAATAAAAAAAATAAAAGAAATAAATACCCTACGACGTCAGCTATAAAAATAAAAATAAGCCGACGTCGTAGGGTATATTTTTAATTTTTTTTTAAAAAAAAATTGTTTAGATATAACGTCGGCTAAACGTTATATATTAAAAATAAAAAAATAAATAAAAGAAATAAATATGATACGAGTTTTAGCCGACGTCGTAGGGTCTTTTTTATTATTTTTTTAAAAACTGTTTAGATATAACGTCGGCTAATTGTTATTAGCCGATGTTATATTGTTATTAAAAACAGATCTGAGATTCGAATTTCAGTCACTCTACCATCGCCACAGCCTTCTTCCCATTGCCACCGCCAACGCCTCTCTTTGCCATCGCCACCGCCAACGCCACACTGCCCAGCCGCGACAGCCGGTCGTCGCTCCGCCGGGTCGTTTCTCCGCCTCCGCCGTAGCCTCGGCGTCGTTTCTCCGCCTCCTCGTCGTCGCTCCTACCCGCACACCACTGCCCAAGCCGCCGCCGCAGCTCCGCCACACACAGACGCGCTGCCCAGCCTCCCCGCCGTCCGCTGCACTGCCGCACTGCCGCACTGCCGTCCGCTGCTCTCCTGACCGCCGTCCGCCTCTTCGCTGCTGTTGGAGGTAATTTTTTTAATTATTATTAATTAATTCGAATTTTAGTAAATATAATTATATTTTAGGGTTTATTTGAAATTATTATTAATTAATTCGAATTTTAGTAAATATTAATTTATATTTTAGGGTTTATTTGAAATTATTATTAATTTATTTCGAATTTTAGTAACTATATTTGCATTTTAGGGTTTATTTGTATATATTTGAAATTATTATTGATTTATTTCGAATTTTAGTAAATATATTTGCATTTTAGTGTTTATTTGTATATATTTGAAATTATTATTAATTTATTTCAAATTTTAGTAAATATATTTGCATTTTAGGGTTTATTTGTATATATTTAAAATTATTATTAATTTATTTCGAATTTTAGTAAATATATTTGCATTTTAGAATTTATTTGTATATATTTGAAATTATTATTTATTTGTTTCAAATTTTAGTAAATATATTTACATTTTAGGTTTATTTGCATATATTTGTAATTATTATTGATTCATTTTGAATTTTAGTAAATATACTTACATTTTAGGGTTTATTTGTATATATTTGTAATTATTATTAATTTAATTCAAAATTTAGTAAATATATTTGCATTTTAGGGTTTATTTGTATATTTTTGAAATTATTATTAATTTATTTTGAAGTTTAGTAAATATATTTACATTTTAGTGTTCAATTGTACATATTTGAAATTATTATTAATTTATTTCGAATTTTAGTAAATATATTTGTATTTTAGGGTTTATTTGTATATATTTGAAATTATTATTGATTTATTTCAAATTTTAGTAAATATATTTGCATTTTAGGGTTTATTTGTATATATTTGTAATTATTATTGATTTATTTCGAATTTTAGTAAATATATTTGTATTTTAGTGTTTATTTGTATATATTTAATGTTATTATTAATTTATTTCAAATTTTAGTAAATATATTTACATTTTAGGGTTTATTTGTATATATTTAAATTATTATTGATTTATTTCGAATTTTAGAGCTAGACTTTTATATTAGGCTGCACAACTTGCTTGTTACTTTTTACGTTGTAGTATCTGTTCATATACTTTCTCAACCTACTGAAACACAAAGAACCAGTAACGCCTCCACTGAGGCTCGAACTCATAATCTTCCAAATGGAAGTCCAACCCGGGTACCATTAGACACATAATCCTGGTAACTTGCTTGTTACTTAGTGTACTGAAAAACTAATACTAATAATAACTAGTCTATGCCCACCACAACAATTATTTTAGATATTTGTTGAATCAATGTTAACAAAAGTTTAATTGAAATTATTATTATCCTAGATTGACTTGTGATGGATAAAAGTTGGATGAATGCTTCTCGGTTGAGTATGGAATATGAAGCCGAAGTTAGAGAATTTATAGAGTTTGCAAAACGTCATCTTCCAAATAATGATGCAATGTTTTGGTGTCCTTGTAAGAAGTGTTGTAATCTAAAACTATTAAGTGCAAAGGACATATATGATCATCTAATTTCTGATGGAATTAATCTAAATTATACAAAATGGATATAGCACGGTGAAGGAGGAAGAGAGACTTGTACATCTAACATATATGTTGACAACGAAGCAAATGAAGATGATGAGTCTGAAGATAGGTTAGACGAAATGTCCCGTGATGTTGGAGAAGAGTTCACAAATCAATCAAATGAGTTGGGTGAATTATTAAATGATTCAAAACAGCCTTTATGGCCCGGGTGTAGTAAATATACTCGTTTATCTGTTGTTTTGAAATTATTCAACTTAAAAGCTAGGAATGGATGGAGTGATAAGAGCTTTACTGCTTCACTTGATTTAATAAATGATATGCTTCCAGAAGATAATGGACTGCCGAAGAGTACATATGATGCCAAGAAGATTATGTGTCCCATGGGTATGGAGTATGAGAAGATACATGCTTATCCTAACGATTGCATATTGTTTAGGAATGAATACAAAGAATTGAATGCATGTCCAATCTGTGGGTCATCTCGGTACAAAATAAGAGAGCATGTTGTTGGTAAGGCAAGTTTGAAAGGGCCACCAGCTAAAGTTATGTGGTATCTCCCAATTCTTCCAAGATTTAAGCATATGTTTGCAAATCCAAGCGACGCGAAAAACTTAACATGGCATGCAGATCAAAAAATTTCTAATGGCAAGCTTTGACACCCAGCTGATTCTACTCAATGGAAAACCTTTGATAATGTTTTTCCTCAATTTGGCAATGAGTCAAGAAATCTTAGACTTGGCCTATGTACCGATGGTATAAACCCTCACGGGAACCTAAGTAGCAAGCATAGCTCGTGGCCAGTTATGTTAGTGATTTATAATCTACTTCCTTGGTTGTGTATGAAACGCAAATATATATTACTGTCCTTGATGATTTTTGGCCCAAAACAACCCGGTAATGATATAGATGTCTTTTTGGCACCATTGATTGAGGACTTGAAAAAATTGTGGGATGAAGGTGTGTTAGTGTTTGATGCCTACCGAAAAGAGAATTTTAAGTTGCATGCTATGCTTTTTTGCACAATCAATGACTTTCCAGCTTATGGAAACCTGGTTGGGTATAGTGTCAAAGGACATAAGGCATGCCCTATATCTGAAGATAATACATGTTATTATCAACTTGTCCATGGCAGAAAGACAGTCTACTTGGGTCACCGGAGGTTTCTTGATACAGTTCACCCTTACAGCAACAAGACTATACAGATGCTCCACAACCACTGAACTGGGATTGATGTTTATGAACGTGTAAAAGGTATAAATGTTACTTTTGGTAAAACTAAAAAGCTTAAATCTCAAAGAGGTAAGAGGTCAAGAGCTAATGTTGAGATACCTCCAAATGAAAAGAGTCCATGGAAAAAGAAATCCATGTTTTTTTATCTTCCATATTGGAAGACATTAGATGTGAGACATAGTATTGATGTGATGCATGTGGACAAAAATGTGTGTGATAGTCTTGTTGGAACTCTTTTAGATATAAAAGGTAAGACTAAAGATGGACGCAATGCTAGATTAGACTTGATTGAAATGAACATACGAGTTACATTAGCTCTACGCCAAGGGGATAAGAAGACATATTTGCCTCCAGCTGCTCATACTTTATCAACAATGGAGAAAATAAGTTTTTATGAGTGTTTACGTGGAGTCAAGGTACCACAATGGTACTCATCAAATATTAGAACACTTGTGAATATGCAAGATTTAAAATTGGTGGGATTGAAATCTCATGATTGTCATGCCTTAATGCAGCAACTATTGTTAGTGGCTGTTAGAGGTATATTGCCAAAAAAGTTGAGATATACTATTATAAGGTTTTTTTTCTTTTTCAATGCTATCTGTGGAAAAGTGATTGATCCAGACAAACTAGATGAATTGCAAAATGGCATTATTGTTATATTGTGTCAGTTGGAGATGTATTTTTCACCGTCATTTTTTGATGTCATGGTTCATTTGGTTGTACATCTGGTGCGAGAGATCAGACAGTGCGGTCCTGCTTATTTGAGGTGGATGTACCCATTTGAACGGTACATGAAAGTCTTAAAAGGTTATGTGAGGAACCGATATCGACCAGAAGCATCTATTGTTGAAAGCTATATTGCTGAGGAGGTAACTGAATTTTGTACTGAATATTTGGCGGGGGTAAAAGCTATTGGTCTTTCTAAGTATCGACATGAATGAAGAAGTGCTGGGAAAGGTACTCGAGGATGCAAAGTAGCCAGTATGCCTCGTGCAGATATTGAGCAAGCACATTTGTACATCTTTCATAATACAAGTGAAGTCGAGCCATATTTAGATGAGCACAAGGCAATGATTAAAGAGCAAAATCCAAGAAAGACAGACATGTGGATTGTGAGTGAACATAATCGTACTTTTATTAGTTTGTTTAAGAATAAAGTTCTAAGTGCTGATAACTATTCTGAAACAGTATGATTGTTAGCTCATGATCCTTGTATGCAAGTCATATGTTATACTGGATATGATATACATGGATTTTCTTTTTATACAAAAAAACAAGATAAAAAGAGCACTATGCAAAACAGTGGAGTTTCTTTGGTTGCAAATTCAGTGCACTTCAGTAGTTCGAAAGATAAAAATCCGGTGATTGCAGAGTTGTCATATTATAGTGTGATTGAAGAAATATGGGAGGTTGATTATGTTCAGTTTAAAGTGCCGATGTTCTGATGTAAATGGGTAGATAGTAAACACGGTGTTAAAGCTGATGACTTAGGGTTTACACTTGTCGATTTGAACAGTGAAGGTCACAAAAATGAGCAATTCATAATGGCATCTCAAGCAAAACAAGTATTTTATGTTACTGATCCTAGTGATAAAAAATGGTCTGTTGTTCTTCATGGAAAGAGACAAATTACTGGTGAAGGGAATGAAGATGTTAGTTATGAGATTGAGGAAATACCACCTTTTTCTTCAAGTTTATTTCCAGTTATTATAGATAATAAGATAGATGAAATGCATGCATCACGGGATGATCATCATGAAGGGCTATGGGATAATTGATTATTATTTGTAATGCTTTAACTTCTTCTTGTGTTTACTATATCTAAATATTTACAGTTATATTTATGTATATTATTCTTTTGTCATTCACTAATAATTTCTTTGCTAAACAGGCATATGGATTCATCAAATGACCCCCCTATTGATAGTACCACCCAAGCTAAAGGTACTAATACCAAAGCTAAGAAGAGGGGTGCCACCGTTATGACAAAATTAATTTCTGGGCGTGGTGACAGAAACAAGAAATTGGTGGTTCAATTTGATAGTAAACACGATGATGTTGGAGTAGGGAGCGCCCAATTCAGAAGTTATTTTGCGCTGATTGCATGAAGCAAAGTTCCTATCACATATAAAAATTGGAAAGTGGTCCCAGAAGAGAGTAAAGCGTTGGTGTGGGATAATATCGTGGTATGCAACTTATTTATAAAACTTTTGAATTAATTGTATTTAATTTGTTTCTAATAAATAATCTTGTCTTGCGGAGCATTTATGATATTCCCACTAATGCGGATCTGAAGGATTCTTTGATGAAATATGCTGGTGAATGGTGGAGAGACATTAAAAGTAGATTGAACAGAGACTTTATATTCAATAATGAAGACCCAATAAACAATACTCCATGTAAAAAATACACATTCGTTGATCAAAATACATGGAAAAAGTACCTGGAGCTTCGTAAAACTGCAGAGTTTGAGGTATATATTATTATTTTTCTATCAATTATTTATTAACTCAAATATATTAAAGATATATTATTACTTAATGTTTTCTTTTTGTGTAGGAATCAAGAAAGAAACATCAAGAGCTACAGAGTAAGAATGTCCATCCATATCATTTAGCCCGAGGAGGCTATAAGAGATTGGAGAAGCTTATGATGGATGAGAAGATGAAAGAACAAGAAGAAGCTGCAAGTTCAGATCCATCGTCAATAGTTTCTCCTCCATCTCCTCCAACTAGACATGAAAAGTGGAAGAGGGCAAGAATGAAAAAATCAGGAAATATTAACAACGAAGCGACTAGAATGGTCGTGGAAAAGATTGTAAGTAATATGTTATAATTTTCTACATTATTAAGATAGATAGTAATCATTATTAAATAATTTTTTATATGTTACGATTTGCTATCATTGCAAGCTTCTCAAGGAGAATTTGTTGAGTCCGGTAGACAAGATATATTGTCTAATGCCATAGGTACAGATGAGCATTGCGGACATGTTAGAGCCGTGGGTAGAGCACATGGCTTAAAAAGCTACTTTGGTCATGCAAAACATCGTCAAAGCCAGCCTACACCAGAAGTAAAAGATATGATTAAGGCAGCAGTTGCTGAGGCGTTAGCAATTCAAAAAGAGCATTTTGAAACATCCATGCAAGTAACCATTCAAGAGATGATGAATGAAATTAGTAGTATGAAGACTCCAGCGGCTCAACCTGTACCATCAAGGCAGGAGGAAGACATGTGTGTAGCTGTCCAACCACATTGTCATAGTGAAAAAGCAAGTTCTCCAGACCCTTTTGCTGATTTACCGGTCGTAAGTAATCATTTATAACTAATCTTATTATTATTTATTAAAAACATTTTAGCTATTTTTTAATATGAATTCATGCAGTTAGGAGCAGAATGTGAATTGTATTCGGAAGATCACATTAGAAGTAAAGTTGCACGTGGGACAGTTTACAAGGCCGAAAGGGTTCACGAGATACAAATACATGTGGATCAAGTGAAGGTCAGCGTAAATGAAATTCTCGTGTCAAGTGCCAAGGTACCCTTCCCTACCGATGAGGTTCAACTGTTAAGGGATGCACTGCACAACTTTATTATTTGGCCAAAGAAGTTGGTTGAGGTTCAACTGTTAAGGGATGCACTGCACAACTTTATTATTTGGCCAAAGAAGTTGGTTGAGTTGTATACCCAAGCTGATGAGGTATGTATTTTCAAAATTTTTGGATTTTAAAATAGTGTTTAATTTACTTTTTAAAAATAGTAATTGTTACTTATATTGAACAGTTAAAAATGACTTATGATTCCGGTATGCAACGACCTTCTGTTGATCTCACTATAACTGATCCGACTTCTTTGAGTCCTCGATGTCTAAATGTATATAAAATTGTTCGCAAACTTGATGAAAATGTTGTGATAAAGATGGAGCGTGGTATTGTGGGTGATGTTGACTATCCCTTACAACTTGACCCGTCGGAGATTATGCGTTTCTTAAGGATGGAGACGTTAGATGTTTCCATATTGCAGTTCTTTATAAGGTAATAATTAAGTTCTTTACTTATATTTGTTTATATAATATTTTTCATTTCATCTATTATATTACTAATATATATGATTGATTGTATTTTTGAATAGGGGTCTTTATGACAAATTTGAATTGGCATCAAAGACCACATATGGCTTCTTAGATCCACATTTCATTCAACCAGTTTCAAATACTATAGATGAACGGACAGGGTATATCAACGTCACCATGCAATATGGACAGAAACAATGTTATCTAGCGTCATATATTTTAAAGTACGTTTTAATTGTTTCAAATAAAATAACTTATATATAATACACTTCTATTATATATTATATTTACTTACAACTAATACATTATTGATTTGTAGTGACCATTGGATGTTGATGGCAATTTGTCCTCAACTTAATGACATCTATTGGTTTGATCCAATTGGAGACCAGCCACGTGATGACATCAAAGATATTGTTGAAAAGTATGTGAACTTATAAGTATTAATATGTATAATTAATAAAGTATGCATGATGTCATAAAGTATTTATGTATACTAATCTCTTATAATTTTAGGTGTGTGAATTCAGCAAAGTTGTTGAGAAGCAATGGATCAATTCATTTACCAAAATGGACTAAAGTTTTGGTAAGTATTTTATACATTTGCAAAAGTACATATATTTTTGTTTTATTAAATAAAATTTTAAATGTAATTTTTATTACAAAGGAAGGGGAATACCCATACAATCTATGCCTACACCAAGGCTCGAAACCTACACCTCTCACATAGGAGAGCAATCCGATACCAGTGGACTACAAGCCACTTGGTAATTTTAAATGTAATTTAATTCAAATGTAGTATGCTCAACAAGTTGGAAGTACGGCATGTGGATATTATGTGATGAAATACATTCTTGAAATTCTTTCCAAAGAAGCATGTGCGGGAATGGATAAGGCATATAATTTAATATAATACCTTTCTCTTTCTAATTTTAAAAATGCTAGCTTACTAATTATTTAATAATTATCAACTTTGTAAATTGTTGAGAGAGTTGGTGGATCGAGCTACACTCAACAAGAAATTGATCAAGTAAGAGACGTATGGGCCGATTTCTTTGTTGATGTATGGTTAAGTATGTAAATTGAACAAATTAATATTAGGTTTTGATAATGTTAACTTGTATTATTGATTAGTATCAAATTATGAGATTTATTACTTTTATTACTTGTTTGATTATAAATATTAGATTTTACATATTTTGTTGTGATTGTGGTGCAATAATTGAGCAGGTTTTGGATGTAGTTTTGAGAAATTGAGCAGGTTTTGGATGTGGTTGTGAGTAATTTGAGCCCGGTATAAATAGACAAATAAACTGTATATTAAAAAAAAAAAGTACAACGTCGGCTAATTAGTATTAGCCGACGTTGTATATATATTTAAAAAAACATACAGTTTACGTCGACTATTTAAAATTAGCCGACGTTGTAATATATTTACAATAAAAATAAAAATGTTACAACGTCGGCTAATTCGTATTAGCCGACGTTGTATATTATTTAAAAAAAAAAATAAAAACGTTACAACATCGGCTAATTAGTATTAGCCGACGTTGTATATTATTTAAAAAATAAAAATAAAAACGTTACAACGTCGGCTAATTGGTATTAGACGACGTTGTATATTATTTAAAAAATAAAAAATAAAAACGTTACAACGTCGGCTAATTCGTATTAGCCGACATTGTAGATATTTATTAATTAAATTAAAAAATATATATAACGTCATCTATTTAAATAGCCGACGTTATATATAATATATACAACGTTGCCCAGAACAACGTCGGTATTTAGCTGACGTTAAAGGTGCTATTTAGCCGACGTTAAAGGCCTGCTGTGTAGTAGTGCATACTCCTCTCATACAAACACCCTTCGGAAAAAAATTATCAAAAAGACACGTGCATGAGCCCCGTACGACCATACGACAATTGTAAAGTGCCTAGAAAAATATCAGGTGTCACAATCTACCCCCTTAAATGATGCTTCGTCCCCAAAGCTTTAACCATGAACTAAACCATACCAAGGATAGATAAAACAATGACCTAAAATCATACCAGAAAATACCTAGTGTTACAAAGAATGTTTTAGAGAAGTTGTTTTAAGAGAGATTGTTTATAGAAGTTGGGTTTACTTCTCTTGTGTTTACTTCTCTTGGTTTTACTTCTCTTGGGTTTCACTCTTGGGAAGTTGACTTCTCAGGAGGTCACTCTTCGGATGACTTCTACTCTTCAGAAGTTGACTTCTCGGGAGGTTACTTTCCGGTTGACTTTTCGAAAAGCTAGTCTTCGAATGACTTCTCGGATCCCCAGAAGTTGTAAATATTATATTTAGTAATATAATGAATTCATGATCGGTTACATAATAATTGAATTATTATATTTAAAATATATTGGTATCATTATGAATATAATGATAGTGGGAGTTACAAAAACTTCCAATTAACTCTCTTCATTAATCAAATATTTATGAGAATTGAATAGAGGATGTCTGATGATGAAAAAAAAAACATTAAAAAAAAAAAAAAAAGGATTCCATCAAGTTGCCAACACACGGGTTGTGAGTGTATCCTTTGCTCTTGACTAAGTAGCGGCGGTACTTACGAGAGAGTGGTTTCTAAGACAAAACTCTCAAGTTACACCCTTGGTGAACTTTTTAGAAGAACAACCTAAAAAGTTTGGCATTCTTCTTGTATCTCAAAATGAATGTTCTAATTTGTTACCCTTGTTGCTTGCTAAGGGAAATTAAAAACTTTTAGGATAATGTGCCAGCACACACTGAAGTTTGTGATCAAGCTTTCCCTTGTTTCTTGACTCTCAGATTCCCTTTTACGAGACTAGATTGTTCTTTTCCTAACAAAAATAAATAAATAATTACGTACGCAAGAGAACTATGAAAAGTTCCGGTTCTCAAAGCAAACCGAAATCCAAACCGAACTGAATCTACAAACTGAACTCTTTCAAACCGAATCAAAACCAAAAAAAATAATAATAATAAATAAATAAATACCTTAGCTTGAACCAAACTGGAAAAAATCGAACTGAGAATCGAAACACCAACTCTAGTTACATATTTTTAATGCAAATAAAGTACAAAAAATAATGATTGAAAGAATTGAATTCCAGCGGACAACAATTCCTTGTTGCTGCTGGCAAAACCTTTGTTTAATCTAACCCAACACTGAATTTGAAATGTGTTTATATTATAATTAAAGACTCAAAATATCCTTAGCATACTGTATGTCTGTATATATCGTTATATAGTATTTCGTTTAAAAAAAAAATGTTATTTAACAATGTACGGTTCAAGTAGAAAAAATAAATTGATTTTTTTAACAAAATTTTATATTCAAACTTCATAAGTAAAGCAGCAGTAAGTGTTAAATTCGAAAAAAAAAAAAAAAAAAAAAAAAGTTATGTTATTGCCAGTAGATGCATAAATTAAGGAAAATGTACATTTTTACTCTTCTGCTTACGAAAAGTAGACAATTTTTTGAGTTGTCTTTTTTTTTTATTGAAGAAAAAAGAAGTAAATGTATTAAAGGGAGTCAGATTGTCAGATGGTATGCAAATGGTTTGATGATGTGGCACATGATCTCTCTTATGCTGGATGTATTTTAGCGAGTATCGAACTTTACAATGACACTTTGAATCAGTGTCTATTCTTTTTATTCCGAGATCAGCGAATAAGTTAGCTTATACAATCGTTAGAGCTACACGTTCACAACCTGGTCCCTCTACTTGACTATCTTTGATTCCTTCTTATATTGAACACTTATTAAATAAAGTTTTGAAATTTTACCCTTCAAAAAAAAATGGAGTTTAGCTCCAAGGAACGAACAACAAATGGATAGGGGACAAGGAAACAGTACTCCGAACGATCAGTCTTAAATAATGCCTCCTTAGCAAGTAGATGAGCGACCCTGTTTGTTTAACAAAAACAAAAAGTTAACTATAATCTCAAGCTAAGTTCTGAATGTGATGCAAAATGAGATCAAAATAAGAAATAACAGAAATAGAGCGGATAGCATGAACAACTTTAGCAGTCACTTTCAATGTGGATTGGGTCCAGATTTTGTAGCTTTAACCATTTCAGCGCCTCACGGATCCCTATTGCCTCTGCTTCATCAGATCTGTGCAGGCCTTGCCAAGGGATCATATACCTGCTGGCTGCTGCCATGAAAATACCATTAGAATAGCGAAGAACAAAGCCAAAACCCATCTTAGAATTGTTATTGTCAAGGGCAGTATCAACATTAAGCTTATACCATCCATCAGGGGGCTTTGACCATCTGGGGAGATGCTGAATTCGCATTCTGCCATTCAAACAGGAAGGCCTGTGCTTCATTGATAATAGCCTGCATGGGGGTAATAGTATGGTTCCATATTTTATCATTCCTTGCACTCCATATTTTCCAACAGACAGTAATCATAAGGCAGAGCTCATATTTGCAGATAGAGATTTGAAATTGATTTCCAACCAGCCCATTAAAGAGGAAGAACCAAGGTGAATGACACAACCAATATGATCCCAACAACCAGTGGCAAGGGGGCATTTAACAAATAGGTGGAATGCAGATTCATCAACACTTCCTTGTTGCTGTTGGCAAAACCTTTGTTTAATCTAACCCAACACTGAATTTGAAATGTGTTTACATTATAATTATATGTTATATTTATTTTATAAAGTGAACAAACAACCAACTAATGTAAATTAAACTTTAACTAGAAATTGTTATATATGTGAACAATTTGAGGGACTGATTTTGTAACTATATGGAATGGTTAATGATAATATTTGCATTTGCATGATATAATTAAAATAAATTGTCTTTTTTCTTTCTTCAAAAAGACTAGTGGTTTCACACATAGATAACTGAATGGAGTAATGGACTTTATTATGTTATTTTTTTCCCATATATATATATATATATATATATATATATATATATATATATATATATAAAAGAAAGAAATACCCTATTACATCAAATGTCTTTACTAAGGTTCAAATTTATCACCTCCGATATAGGAGAGCAACATAATACCATTGCACTACAAGACCCTTACTATATTTATTTTATTTTTGTTAATGAGAAATATAATCATAACTATTATCTTTCCGAATTGTGTATGTCGTTGTCGAGGGGATGAATATAAATTCTTCTAGCGTCATCAGCTTAATTATTAAAAAAGAAAATTGATTGCTTACTAGAAAATAAAGAATCTATAATGATGTAAGCTAGTTTAGCTTAAATTTCATAATGTGGATGTATTGACTACTCTCGTAATGATAACATCTTAATGTTCTAATTCTGTTGATAATGATGACTAGTCGGCAGCTACAAATGATTGAAATGAAAAGTATCACATTTTTGTCATTAGTATTATATTTTTTCTCATAATTAATAATTAATCAATTTATCTATAATTACTATACTAATAGTGTCAAATTGGGCCGACTCGCCCCATTAGGCCTGCCTCACTACGGGCTTAATTTTTGACGGGCTTTTGCGGACCGGTCCGTGGCTATCATGCAACTGTAGCCCGTCCCGCGCTGCTTGACGAGCCTCGCAGACTGGCCGCGGACTTTTCTCTTTTTTTCTTTTATTTTTTTTTATTGAATTCAAAATTCAAAAAAATAAGTAAAGACATTGCGAATTTGCAATCTAATTTTATAGTCTAATAAAAATTAATATTAATTCAAAGTTTAAAAAAATAAGTAAAATTTACAAATAATATTAAATTTTTCGTGTTTAAAAATTAAAAAGATAACACACACACACACGCACACACATACACACACATATATATCTTGCTACCTTGTTGTGTAACATTTTATATATGTATATATAAAATGGTATACAGCAAGGCAGCGTACTGTCTTGTTGTGTAACTGTTACATATGTTTGTAACATATGTAAACATATGTATATTTATTATTATTTTTTCTAAGGGCTTGACCCGCGGTCTACGCAGGTTAGTCCGCGGGGGCTACATGTATTTATATCCTGTATCACGGCGCACGTTGC